AAGTTTGCCAGGGGGTTCTAACACCTGTCCAAAAAAGTCGATGGTTACCATTGCTATATGTCTGAGTACCCCTTGACAGAAACAGAACGTAGAATGTTACTGATTCTCACCAAGTCAAAAATGCAAGGTTGAGAAGGCAGAGTACAAGGAGAGTATTTGAGACATTCAAAATTCCAGCCTTATGAGGGATTGTCTGATGTTGGCTAGGTGCCACGTGGAGGTTGTGGCAAGATGGGGCAGGGACAAGATATTAGGAAGTAACCGGAGCTCACACTCCCGAGGCAGGGGGCTGTGCCATGTGGAGTTGTGGTGAACTGGGGTAGGAACAGGATACGGGGAAGTAGCCGGAGCATGTGCTCCTGAGGCAGGGGGCTGTGCCACGTGGGAGTGGGACTGCAGACAACGAGCTCCCTTTGTCTAGTCCTCTCCCTAGGTGCAGCGCTAACCCCAGACGCCTCCTTCCAGTATCCGGGCCTAGCTTCCTTTGTCATGTCCTCTCCCTTGGTGCAGTGCTAACCCCAGACGTCTCCTTCCAGTATCGGATCCTACAATCATTCACTGGTAGGCGGGCTGAGGAGGAGGGGCTAGGAAGGTACATAAGGGGCGGTAGGGGTCGGAGCTCGCGCTCTCTTGCTCCTGCTCTTGCTTTCCTGCTTGGCCTTGCTGTGATGGCCTCTGAATAAAGTTCAAGTGCTTGCACCTCCCGATCGGCTCGTCTCTATGTTTATCCGGGTGGGCTCCGAAGACTGGTAAGTATGACCTTGGCAGCCTGCTCCTGTTAGAAGGAGAGTGCACGGCGCGACCGGCACACAGCCTCATGCCTGGTTAATCTAAGTTGTATTCTTTGACCCCAAAGAAATAGGGCTTAAAACACTTGTGACAAGAATGTGTAAGAAAATTACAGCACCAGCAGTTAAATAAGCAGTTTCATACAGGCTTTTACTGCAGTTCCTCTTAGTGTCCTTCTCTTTATATTATCTGAAGCCTCTTTGTAAGGGGCCTTGCTTCTGAGATATTACAGAAAGTAATTACTCAGTTAAAATTCCAAGTTTGAAAAATTCACATTTCCTGTGTTACTGAGTAAATTGGCTGTTGGCAGAGGCCAAAATGACTGTTTGATCAGACCAGTGCCTCCTATTCCCACCCCTGAACTAAGCAAGAATCACCAGTGATTGCAACACCCTAGTGTGTATTCTGTGGCAAAGGAGAAGGTTCTGAATGAATAGGCCTGGATTCAGGGAGACTCATCTTCCTGAGTTCAAATCTGGCTTCAGACACTTAATAGGTGTGTGACCCTAGGCAAGTCACTTCACCATGTTTGCCTTAGTTTCCTCATCTGTAAAATGAGCTGGAGAAGAAAATAGCCAACCACTCCAATATCTTTGCTAAGAAAACCTCAAATGGGATCATGAAATGTGGAAAACTACTAAAAACACCAACAAAGTTCCCCTTCTCAGTCCCAAGGCAGAATTGGGAATGGCTACATGTATCCAAGAGGCCTAGACATAAAAAATCATTGTTCTTGGAACAATGGAAGAATACTTAAGTAGAATACTTGCAAGAGGTATTTATTAAGCCAGTTTTTTCAAAAGAGTGTTCTCTTATAAACCATGCTACCATGTAAATAAATCCATTTTATTATGCCTTGCTGCTAAATAGCACAACAAAGTCCCAAATAACTCAGAGAGCTCCATTTTAGTTGTGATTTAAGGTAAAAGCTTTCTTAAACATATATCAAATAATTCTCTCAAGATAAAATGTATTTTGTAGCCTGTGCATACATAGAATATGTCTGTGTGTTCCCTTCTAAACTGAAAGCTCCATGAGGGTAGGGACTGCCATAAGCTCACTTTGTATTCCTCCCCCTCCCCAGGCTCTACATATAACAGGCTTTTAATAAATGTTTATTTCAGTGAATAGATAAAAACTTGGAAATCCAAAGGCAAATGAAAGAATAATTTAATGAATTCGAAGGCCTGTGACTTCAAAAGAAAAATCACAACTTAATGAGAACCTAGACTAAGCCTAGGGTATTTACTTGAATTATGAAACGGGGTCATGTGAGAGTCCATCCTGTTTCCTGGTTGAGAAGTTGATTCTTTTTTTAAATGGATACTACATTGTTCATGGACAAAACTGAAAGTAAAATGGTAATGTGGCTTGGGCTCACTAAAATGTTTCCAAACTTGTCCCATTACAAGGTGAGAATTTAAAGAATCAAACTGTCAGCTGGTAATAATGACCCTTTGTAGCTACTTAGGATATGGAAAGACACTTTTACTGCCATGGAAAGACTGTAGCAACAAGGAGTCTCCCCACATATGTCAAGAGAAGGGTTGAAACCACAAATCTCCTTAATAGTACTGGGTGAAGAAGAAAAAGATCCTTTTTTAAAGACTATTCTTTTCTCCATGAATGTAAATCCTCATCAGCTTTAGTAGTGTGCTCCCTCAACACACATAACTCTTTATAAAAAAAAAAATCTGCAACGAAAACATGTTCATGAATTTTTAAACTCAAGAATATCGAAATGCTCCAAACAGCTCATTTTAGACTGCTTGTTCTAATTTACTCGGTATGAGTTTTTCAGCCCTTATTTGACATTCCAATAAGCAACAGAATAATTTTTTTAAATCCTTATTTGCTACCCTCTACAAATGGTATCAGATAAACTATTTAAAAGACAAGGGGCTGAACAATACTAACACCACAAATGAGATGGGTAAACACTATCAGCAGAGGGATCTTGCTGATCTGTTTAAAAACAAAACCCATTTCCATTAGTTATCCCCAAATGATTTCAGTGTTTCCAGTGATGTTTATTTTTAAGTATGTTTTCTAATTGAAGTCTCTATACTGATTGCTTATTTGAAGATGCTGCTTATTTTCTTATAATCTTCACTCCTATCCCCAGCCACCCTGATCTGAGCCCTTTCTGAATTTATATTCAGTTGAGATACTGCTCAGTTTTTTCTTGTTAAAAGGGGCTTGTTCAGCCAAGGTCAGAAAATTACTCCACAAAACACAAGTGCAGAGCCTCCTGAAAAGGGCTAAAAGGGCTTAGCAGCTTCAGAGGAGTACTGTTGATCCAAGGAACAGGGAGGAAACATGCCTACAGACCTCCTGACATTGGATTAAAGGTCATTAAAATGTAGTATTTATTAGAGTTTTAGAGACTTCCAGTTAGGTGACAGTGATCAAGAAAATCATATGAACACAGTTTTCCTTCTGACCTTGAATGGTGGTTAAACACATCTGTTACATGGTCCTGAACAGATGGCCAGAGTCAGGCGCTCCCAGAAAACATCTGGGCATTTGCCCATTTACCTAGAAGGTAACTAGCACTTTTCCATATGGAAGAAAGCAGAGGACACAAGCTGAAAAATCCACATCCTCTCAGCTCCTTTCCCTACTAATATCACTTAGCTCATCTTCTATCCTTACAATCCCAGCCGGGAATTATGCCTAGTGGCCTGGACTTCTGGGACTCTTCGTGACAGAGGTTGGTCTGAAGGTGAGTGGACTATGGTTTATTAGTGTTATTTGTGTATTTCTTCAGCACTAACTACTGCTAACACAGGGCTCCTCTTCTACCCTAGAAATCTTATATCCCCAGCCCATATGTAAATGTGGAATTGCAAATCTACCAGTTGTAGTAGACCCAAAAACTTCTTTCATGTCAGAGAAAAGGAAACAATGACTTCCCTCCATCTGGCAGCTATTAGCATCATTGACAGGCAGCACATGATAGAAATCACAACAATCCTACAAATGCTATAAATCCACGACTTTGAAGAAGTAAAACATCAAACTGAGTCAGGACTTCAAAACCAAAATTAACATTCTAAAATTATCCATGCACTGCTTTCATACTACAATGCCTGGGAAAGGATGTTTTTAACATCTTGACTAGAAATGAATTGTACGTTTTCAAGCTCTCCAACAATGGAACAGAAAATCTCTGCTTCAGTGTGATTTGATATCTTATGGTAGGGATGAAGGAAAGGATCTGAATTTCAAGGTGAGAGCTCACCTTTGAGTTTCTCAACTGTCAGAATAAAGAAAGGGGTTGAGAAACCCAAGGAATTCCAGGAGTAGAATTGAGCTTAGGGATCTTCTTGTCCTGCCCCTTTATTTTACAGATGAGGAAAATGAAGCCAAGAGCAATTTATCAAGATCATCAAAAATCCTGGTTAGAAAAATCTGGATGGAATGTAAGTTCCTTGAGGGCAGGGAATGTTTGATCTTTTCATTTGTATTTCCAGCACCTAGCCCAGCACATAACTGCTTGTTGACTGAGTGATTGATGTGAGAAAGCTGATTAATACTTTTGACCACCCAAGGAAGTGGCTGAAAAGATGAAAACATCCTCACTGCAGAGGAGGCCCAAATTGTCCTTTGATTCATAGCTATAGCTTCCATTTACAGAGCATGCCTCTCTGATTCACAGATTTCCCTAAACTTTTGTTCAGGAGCTACCCTACCACTGGCTAGCCGTGTTATATTCTTTCACCTCTCTGAGTCTCAGTTTCCACATCTGTCAGATGGCAATGGGGTTAAAATGGACAGATGTCTAAGATTCCCTCTAGCTCTAATATTAAATGATCCTAAAAATTGCATTTTGGTATCCTTCTAAAAAGTGATTGTCCTATTTAAGTTCACCACACAGCAATTCATTATATATCCAGCTCTTTCCTTTTTGACCCTGACTGGCCAATCAGAAACTAAGATATTTGGGAGAATCAGTTCATTATACTTGATCCCCCTTGAATCCTACTAAAGAAATTTAGTTAAATTCCAAAGTCTACCCATTTCTTCTTCAAGATTTAAAACTGATGAATGAAAAGCTTAATTATTATATAAATGCTCACATTCACCATTTAGGCTCAAATTCAGTGGAAAACTCAAGTCACTTCAGAAATAACTGGGGAGAGGGGCAGCTAGGTGTGCAGTGGAGTCAAGAGGACCTGAATTCAAACCTGGCCTCAGACACTTGACACTTAGGAGCTGTGTGACCCTGGCTTAGTCACTTAACCCCAATCGTCTTGCCAAAGAAAGAAAGAGCTAATGTCTATCTCGAGAAGTTCAGTGTTTCTCTGTGTTTCAGCAATGACAGAGGATAGCAAAGCAGAATTAGCTAATCAGATATTCAACTTTTAGTCACTGGAGCTACATGGCTATTTTAAATTATTAAAATACCAAACTGAATAACATTTACTGAAGAATGGGTGGAATAATGCTGCAAAAAATACATCTCCACTGTGTGTGTGTGTGTGTGTACATTTCTTTAATGTGTTTGGCAATACATACACCTCCCATTCCTTTACCTCAGAGACAACACTGCACAGGCTTTGAATTACTCATGTTAGCCCTTTGTAAAATCTCACATTTCACTATAAAATACATAAGTGATCTACAATACAAACTGAGAGTCTTCAAAATAAAGCTGTCTAACTAAAAATTTTCAATTGACTTCAAGTAATTTGCAAAGATGTATCCCAATTTACACAAAAGGCATGGGTATTAACAGTGCTTTCCACAGTTCAGTAGTTTCGAAAAACTACTCTGCAAGTTTTCCCAGAGAACACTGAAGACATCTTTTGGCTGTTAGCTATGTTTACATGCTGATATTATGGACTATCTACTTTTAAATGATGGCTTCTTATTTTGTAATAACAGGGTAATCTAACAGGGATAAAAAAATAAAACCTCCAAAATCCCTTTTAATTTTTAAGAGTATTTTGTTTAAACTTCTGTTACTACAATCAATTCTTAAATTATTTTGCATGTGAGTTGATTTTGGGTACATGGCCCTCCATAATTAAAATATTTATTTTAATTTTATTAAAATTAATCTGATGACATTTCAATAGATTCTGACTATTACAATGCATGCCCCTATTAACGTAATATTTGCTGATGCTAATTATAAAGATAAAGGACACCTATCCAAAAATAAATTCCCTGAACATCTCTGCAGTCCAAGGTATTGAATGCTTTGAGACAAGAAAATATCAAAGAGAATTGTCATGTTTTCCATGAATCTACAAAGACTAAATGGAAAACATGGCTTGTGCCGTACTTCAAATACACTGGTTTGTTGCTGTTGTAAATTACTATAAATAAAAAGGGAATTATTGCGTTAATAATATATGGCACTAATAGCACATATTAGTTGAGTTTTTGGTGGGAGTATTTATTCTAATCAAAACTGCTAACGTAAACAGTTTGAAAGTATTGCCTATGAAAGACTCATTGCAAGTGGCAAAATCCACTAAGAAAAAAGCTTAACTTGTGTTATGAGGGCAGTACTTTGTTAAGAACAACTCTTATCAACCCAATGGATTTTTTATTAACTTGCTATTTCTCCTTATTGCTGCAGGGATGCCCATAAATACTGTAAATAGCTATCATTCCACACATAACTAATGGTGCTAGACAAACAATGGAGCTTCATTTAGACAAAATTGAAACTAGCACGTAAACTAGTGAGGACAGACATGTGAATTGAATTTCTCATTAGGTAAGATCGCCACCCTCATTCAGTCATACAAGGATGGCTAGCTACAACATAGTTCTAACTTCTGGCAGCCAAGAAGAGCTCATTAAGTCAGTCTAGCATTAGAATTTAGGTCAATAAACCAGGTGGCAGTTGAGCAGCACAGATGTGTTACACTGGGGCTCCATTTAACTGATTTCACTTGCTAGACTGGATTTCATCACCATTGGTTGTCAAGTTATTGCCTCCAGGACAACAACCTTTAAATGTTTTTTTGTTCCTGGTCTTCAAAGAGAATCCAACATATCTAATTGCTAATGGCAGAGCTAAATAGTAGTTGTAATCTAGCTACTGTTAAAAGTTTCTGCATTTGGACACCTACTACAAATGGTTTTTTCAACTTGTGCACACAAGCCAACTAAATGATTGGCACTTCAAAATAATCTACAAAACATTGTTTTTTTAAAAAACAGTTGCCCTCTACTGAAAAAAAAACATGTATTTTAGCTAGGGCTGGCAGAAATTAGGTATTTCAGTGCATAATGGAAAACCAGAGCTTTTCCACACTGGGGAGAGGGGAAGAGGGAAGTAACGGTTTTAAAAACACTGAGAATAATTAAAGTGCATATATTATTAACCTGACAAATCTTGTCAGCCAAGGCCTCTGAACTTGAGGGCAGCAAAAATAGAAAACACATTGTCCTTAAAAAATGCTTCTCTATGGAAAGCATTCATACAAAAATGGGTGAGCTATACAGCTCCAAGTGTGGAGGTAAAGACTCTTGGGCATTTAACAGTTCACAATGAAAGAAATCTACATGTGCTACAAACTTTTCTGAGAAATATATGTGTCTAAGTGCAAACCAACCCTCGAGATTCCCTGGACAGATGTCACCCTCGGCTTTAGGGCACCTCATAAAGGACCTGTAGGCAAGGCCCTCTTTTCCTATGATTTATTATTGTCAGAGTTTCTTCTTTTCTCTGGGCCGCCGTAGCCCATAGTTTCTGAGAAATAAGGAAGGTGCAGTGTCCTCTGGTTAAAAGAATTTTCCAGTCTCGTGCTTTACTGGGCATCCCTTTCCCAAGGCAAAATTTGAAGGCTCCTCTTCTCTTTCTCGCCATTTCTGACTGTATTCCTGGAGACTCTCCATCAACTTTCCTCTTTCATGGGATTCACCTTGCTTGGATCCTATAACAAGCAGCAGCGGCACAGCTTTCGAAGCTTCCTTACACTCCTTTCTCTTTCTTCCTTCCCTCCTCAAAAAAAAAAAAAAATCCCCAGGAGTTTATGGGTGAGAAATGGGATCACCGGGAAAATTTCCCACAACTCCCCGCCGAGTTTGCAAGTTACCAAAAGAGACCCAAAGCTTTCTGAGCTTGTCCCTGCCTCTTTTCCTAGCTACCTCTCCCCAGTCCCCCCCGCCCCCGACTCTCCAGGTCTGACCACTAGACAAATGTTTGCATTTGGGAGGAAGAGGAAAGGGGTTGAGATCTGCGGTTCAATGAGGGCCCTCGAGGCTGCCCTCAGGAAGCATCTGCGTGGGATGCGGCAGCTGGCAGTGGCTGGGAGGGTAGCGCAGGGTGTAGTTGGCCCCGTTGTTGTTGTCCCAGAACTCACCCAGCGCACAGCGGTAACAGACCGCGAAGTGGACGGCGAAGCCTTGCTGCTCCTCCTCCTTCTCCCCGAGCAGTCCGGGAGGCAAATAAAGGGAAAAGTGAAAGCGCTCGGTGTTCGGCTCGCCCGGGTCCCCAGCACCCTCTTCAGATCTCCTGGTCCCTAGGTCTAGGTAAGTTCTGCCGGGTTGCCCCTCTTGCCCCTGTGTTTCCAGCTGTGCTGGCTGGCCGGGCTGTAGCGTAGCAGGCAAATCCAAGAAGGAATGCCATTCGGTGAAAGTGTAGCGCACGGTCACCTCCCGGGGCCCAGCGCAGCGTAACACCCTGCCGGAGCCCTTCACCTCGTAGGCAGGAGGCGCTCCGCAGTCTACCTGCTCCAGGCACACTCCCTGCAGAAGGAGGCGCTCGGAGGTAGCTCCGCCGGGCCCGGGAAGCTTGAAGAGAGGCTGCAGGCTGGGCAGCTGCGGCGCTAGCGCGGGAGTGGGGCGGCTCCCCTCCGGCAGGAGCGGGGAGAAGGCCGCAGCCAGCAGATCCCCAATCTGCTCCAGGTCCCGCTCCCGCATAGGAAAGCTCTTAAGGCGGTTGAGCACGGCTGGCGGCACCTGCGGCTCCTCGGCCGCGCTGAAGTGCTTCACGCTGGCCAGGCTGAGCCCCAGAGAATCGGCGAACTGCACCCGCTTCTTGCACTTGGTGCAACAGGCGCTGGGGCTCAGCAGCTCCTCCTCTTGGTCCGTCTGGCCCGACTCGGCACCGGGATCCTCGGGCTGAGGCTTCAGCCTCTGCTGCTGCTGCAATAACTTGGCTGCTTCTAGGATGGGGCTCGGAGGAAGCGAAAAGGAGCGGGTGCGGCAGCAGCGACGGGCATCCAGCAGCTTCGGGTCCAAGAGGCTGGCCTCTCTTCTGGGGAATTGGGGGCTGCCCCTAGGCAGAGAGGGAGGGCTCCGATCCGGAGACTCCGGGCAATTGTGGCAGTTTCCGCCGTCGCTCCTTCCCAGCCGTAAGGTCGCTGGATCGGGGCTCTCCTCAGCTAGCGGCGGATCTTCGTAGGGTATCGACCCCGAAGGCTCCAAACTTAGGATCTGAGGAGCCTGGGTCTCCATAGGATCACTGGGACCCGACTGCGCCCCTGTAGGACTGCTGGATGGGGTAGCTTCTTTCCTCTGGTCTCTCGTGAACTCTGGGGCTTCTTGGCCAGCCTTGGGATTTTATTGCCTACTTGCACGTGTAGAGAGAGAAAAGCTCTCCCCGACTTGACTCTCCCCAACCCCGAAATCTGCTTGAGGCCGAGAGCTGTTCCACTACGGAGTCTCCGGGTTTTAGCTGATGCTGACAAAGGAAAGGGGGAAAAGCACGGGTGGGAGGAGGAAACCAACGGAAGGATAGCCCTTCTATGGATCCAGTACTGGAATCGAACCTGTGATGGGCTGTGGGAGGGACCTAATTGCTGGGAAGGGGAGACCTCACCATCGCTCTACCTGGGGGCCCTCCCAGGGCAAGGTTTTCTGGGATGAGTTCAACTCACAAGGCTTCATTTGGATACTTCAAAACATGTACGCAGTTTAGGAGGGGTTGGGGGGCGGGGCTGTGGAATGACCCCGAGATAAGAGAGAGACTAAAACTACTTGGCAGCAAATTTACCTGATTTTCCTCGAGTACCCACGTCAATCTTATTAGTTCTGTGACCTGGGCAAGTATCGGCCTCTCTGAAGTTGTTCACTTTTCTGTAGCATAAAAATAACTTACTGCATCCTCTTCCTGTGAGTATTGTGTAGACCAAATAAGATATTGCAAGTAAAGCGCTTTATAAATCTTGAAGGGCTGCATAAAAAATGAACTATGATTGCCTGAGGGTCGAGTAATTTATGCCATTGTCACTTCCCCCAGGATTGCATCTGGCTTTATAAAGTGAATGAAGAATTTCGCAGATGATTAATTACAGCAGTCAAAACGCATACACGGCTTTGCTGTTACCTCTCGCAATTTTCCTTCTCCAGGTGGAAACCCATTCTGGGCACGGGAAATCCGTTCTGGGTATACATCTGCAGTCCAAACCCGCAAACAAATGAAAACGTCGTCAAAGGGGAAGCATAGGCTCAGGTCCGTGGGGTCAGTGCGTTTTTTGATGGTATTGATTTTGATGGATAGGTAGGTCCTACCTACCCTTTCCTAGCAAATCTGGACGCTTTCGTGCCCTATCCCCAGACGAAACTACCTATCCCTCCACTTTCTTCTTTCTTAGTTGTTCCAAAAACCAGGAGGCGCAGAGTTAGCTATGTACCCAACAGAAAGTACTTGGGCTTCCAGCAGAAAGAAAACTAGTTGGAGAGCTGAGTCTCTCTTTAAGAGAGCGCTGGCGGTCTTCCTTTTCGGCTACCGGAGATGACAAGCACTGGGGAGTACGGAGGTAAAAGAAAGGCCGAAATTGGAACTGTCTGGGGAAGCCGAGCTGGAAAGGGGTGTGTAAACCGAGCAGGGGGTGTGTCTGAGGGAAGGCGGAGACCTTTAAAAGCAGAGGAAGTACAGTAAGACATTGACCACCCACTTCAGTGCACGTCCCTACCCTCCTTCCTTTCCCCTCTAGTCCCGGCTGCGCTAAAGCACACATCCCGGACCAAACATGTTGCCAGGTTCTTCAGTAGGGCCCTAGTCAGTAGCCAAACTTCTAGAGCAATTCACAAACTGCCCTGTGGTGGAGGTCGGAAGAGCCCAGAGAAGGGAAGCAGGGCTGGGGGGAGGGGACAGGAAAGAGGTCTGCCTGTGCAAAGATGGCCTGGGCTGGGGAGTTGCCTCTCCAGCTAAACACAACCCATCTTCCTGGGTGCCTTTTCATTCTGGCATCTTTCCAAACTACATCACACTCAGACAGAGCCGTGTTTCGTGACCTAACGGAGCCTTATCAACCTCCCCAGCCCAGGCTGGGTCTGGCAAGGACAATTTGTGGCGCCAAGAAGGAAGTAGGAGGGCTAGAAGGAGGTCGCCCCCTCCCCCATTCTCCCCCACTCCCCACCGCCGCACCTCCCTGTTTAGTTTACTTTGGTCTTCACTTCCACTGGATGACCTGGGCAGTCTTTAAACACGCGAAGGGGATGTATGGTTGGATCTCAACTTGGTTAAAGAGAGAAACTACTAACGAATGTAGATGTAGGGGAAAAGATAGGAGGAAGGCACACGATTTTCTAATAAATATTTCCCAAGAAAAATTCAAATCGCTTTCTACCAAAATTATCTTAACTCAGGCAACTTTTCCATTCCTAGAGGTAAAATAGAGCCAGGGATTAGGAGCAAGAATATTAAAGGGGTGGGTGACTGAATTGTGCAGTAGAGAGGACTAGAAGAGATACACCAGAGTATCCCCCCCACACACCTTATTCTTAGGCAGGAGTCAAGGAATTCACAGGGAACTCCGACCCCATTATATGGTTTAGCTGGAATTTGTTCTAGCTCCTTTCCAGGTATAACTAATGATTTGGGTGAGGGCCCTCATATTTTCCCAGAACATTTTATCAGGCTCCTTCCTTTGCTACTATGCTCTCACTTTGCCTTCTGTTTAAATTGCCTTCGAATATCAGAGGGAGTTGATTAAAAAGCTCTCCCTCCAGCTTCCTCGTATCTTGATGACCTTAATGAGAGGAAAGCTTTGGAGACTTTTATTGTAAAGGAATGATGAGAGGCCTTCAAGTGACTTGTAGAATTTACCGGACCTCAGACTTTTTTTTTTTTTTTGAAGTAAACCCTTCTGATCCATACCGTATTCTTAAGGAGAGGGCAGGGGAGAAGTCAAGAAGTCAGAAGGTATGGAAAGGGTAGCCAGGGTTGGATGCAGTGTGGTGGATGCAGGGTGGTAGGAGAGAACCATGTCTCATTGAGTGTCAGAAGATGAAAGGAGTAAAATAAGAAATGGTGCAACAGAGGAGAGGAAATATGTTAGTATTGAGCAGTCTGCCCAGAAGGCAGTAGAAGGAGCAGGTATATCTGGAGTGGGAAATTGGAGGGGGTAGGAGCAGAATAAGTTTAAGAGGAGTGGGAATGAAAGAGCAGAGAGCTGAAGTTGAGAAGATGTTTGTTTGGGGGCACATCGGAGGGTCCAATATCACAGGGAGGAGAGTATGAGGGGATGGAGTTTACTAACCACTGGCGAATAATGAATAGAAGCAAACTAACAGTGAGGTCTTGTTGAAGAAGGCAGATAATTGGATAGCCTTCTCTCTAAGATCAGTGTTCATTTAGTACTGTATATATCTTGCATGGACATAGTATATTGTCCATTCTATTAGACTATAAGCTCCCTGGCAGCTTGCTGACTGACCATCTAGGCTCTGGCTGCCTGGCCTGCATTATTGTGTCCTCTGAGGCATCTGCAAACCTAACTTGCAGGAGACATGAACAGGAGGTGCTGTGTTTCCAACCAGGAGGCTGAGGTGCCCTGGCAGAATTCAAGACCCTCAGGGGCATATGTATATCTATTGAAATCAGAAGGTCATGTGTCCCGTTCAGAAATTTAGAGAGGTAGTTGATTGGTCCTGTTGATTTTTTCTGTTCACTGTTCTTCCAATCACACAGGTTCAAAATCTGTCATCCTTGACTCCTGACCCTTCCTTATCCAATCAGTTGTCAAGTTATCAATTCTAGAGGCAGCCAGGGGGCACAGTGCTAGAGTTAGTAAGACCTAAGTTCAAATCTGGCCTCAAACAACTTATTAGCTGTGTGACCCTGGGCAAGTCACTTAACCTCTGTGTTCCTTAATCCACTGGAGAAGGAAATGGCAAACCACTCCAGTATCTTTGCCAAGAAAAGCTCATGGATAGTATTGGCATGTCCATGGGGTCAAGAAGAATCAGACAGGACTGAACAACTGAACAACAACAATAAACCTTAGGCAAGTCATTTAACCTCAGATTGCCTCAGTTTCCTCCACTGTAAAATGGGGATAATAACAGCACCTTCCTTGCAGAGTTGTTCTGAGTATTAAATGAGGTCGTATTTGTAAAGTACAACGCCTGGCAGATAGCAGGCTCTACGTAAATGCTAGCAAATATTAACTCTACAGCACAGCATCTCTCAAATCTATCACCATCTCTCTACTTACACAGCTACTACCCTAATACAAGCCATCACATTTTGCCTGAAATAGTTTCCTCATTTCCTTAGATCCAGCCTCTTGTCTGGATCAGACCATCTGACACACAGTTGTCTAATTGATATTCCTAAAGTATAGGTCTGACCATGTCATTCACCTGCTCAAAAAGCTCCAGTGACTCTCTGTGCCTGTAGGACATAATATAAATTCGTCTGGTTGGCATGGAAAGCCAAACAATCTAGGTCCAACCATCTTTCCAGGCTGATTACACATTACTCTCCCTCAAGTACTTTCCATTCCCAGCAAACTGACTTTCTTGCTTTTCCTCATTAACAACGTTCCACTTCTCATCACCATACTTTTGTATAGAGTGCTCCATCCCCCCATGCCTGAATGTGCTTCCTCCTTTCCTCTTTCAGAACTCCTAGATTCAGACTCAACTCAAGGCCTATCTCCTTTCCTGATGGTCCAATTGTTCATTTCCTGCCCTGAAATTGCATTGCAATTAGCTGTGTGACCCTGAGCAAGTCACTTAACCCCAATTGCCTAAAAAAAAAAAAAAAAAGAAAGAAAAAGAAATTGCATTGCATTTATTTTGTCTGTAGCTCTCTGTTTACATGCCATTTCTCCAGTAGATTGTAGCAGAACCCTGAGGGCAGTACTGTTTTGTTTTTGTATCTGTATTCACAGTACCTAGCACAGTGCCTGGCATAGAGCAGGTGCTTAATAAATGCTTGTGGAATTTAACTTACACATTAGTGTCACCTCAGCACCTCTTAGTGAATGATAAAGACTCTCCCCCAGATGAATTGCCTGACTCAGACTCTTTTTGAAACTATTAGGGGAACAGCTGACTCTGCTGAGCTATAAAAGAGAACTGAAAGATCATTTTGGGGCTTTTGCACCAAGTGTAGCAGGTGTTTGGGTGGACTGAGGTAGTGTGGTGACTGGTGCTGTAGATATGCATGGTGAGCTCTAGTCACTTGTCCACATGTCCTAGGAGGATAGTTTATGGACAGTACCAGCACTGGGGTTTGCCTTTCAGGTAACCCCATATTCATGGAATATGGCCTTCTAGCCAGAAAAGAAAAATCCAAGCAATATGATCCCAGTGTGATTTGACCTACTAGCACATGAAGAGAGATTTCTTAGGTAGTGCAGCCCTGGGGGTTTCATTCTCATTATCCCAAGTTCTAAGGTAACACAAGGATATGTTTTAATATTTCTTTATTAAAATTAGTAACATCTTCCTTATTAATTAAATAATTAGCTATGATTTTCTTATCCCAGATGATTGAATATTACTTATTTAATAAACTGAAAAAAAGCTTTTCATACAAGCAGTTGCTCATTTATAATATTTTAATTGTGAGAAAGATCAAAACCAGAGTCCCATCTGTATACCACTTTTACTCTTGAGTTCCCTTCACTTCTGGAACACAGTCCCACCACTTAGCTCTTAAGATTATAGCCAAAGTCTCTCAAGAATCCTCTTACTTATTTGATGTATAAGGGTAAAAACCAGTTCTCTCCGGGAATAAGTTTTTTTTTCTATCTTTTCACTATCACTCTCCAAACATGACAGATAATTCTCCAGAATGACAGTTAAAACTCTCCAGTCTCCTCAAACACTCTTCAAGGAGTTCTCTTTATGATGTTTCTTCACAATCTGGTAGATAAACTATTTCTCTTTCAGACAGAAATTTTCTTCATCCTATTAACTCTCCTCAGTTTCTCCTTATCTTCTCACAGATTTTTTTGTAGATCATTCCATTGACTCCTCAAGGAAGGGCAGTTAAAACATCACTATTAAAGATTCCAAAGTTTCTTAAAGGTGCCCTCACAATAGCTGTACTTCCTTTGAGACAGGCTATTGAAGCCGAAGGAATAATGGTACTGTAAC